TTTCCCAGGGTTGTACTGAATGGTACAGTCATAATCACCCAACAACTCCACCCATCTTCTTTGTCTCATATTCAATTCTTTTTGATCAGTGAGATGTTTCAAACTCTTGTGATCCGTGAAGATCTTGAAAGTCTCACCATAAAGATAGTGTCTCCATAGTTTTAGAGCAAACACGACTGCAGCTAACTCCAGATCATGGGTTGGGTAGTTTACCTCGTGTGGTCGCAATTGCCTCGAGGCATAAGCGATCACCTTCTTATTTTGAATAAGAACACACCCCAACCCCTTGTATGATGCATCACTATAAATGGCATACTCTCCCTCGCTTGATGGTAGCGTGAGTACTGGTGCAGTAGTAAGCTTCCTCTTCAGCTCCTCAAATGCTTCCTGGCATTCCTTACTCCAGAAGTAAGTCATTCCCTTGCGCAGTAGTTGGGCCAGACGTCTAGCAATTCGAGAGAAACCCTCAACAAACCTTCTATAGTATCCAGCCATGCCAAGAAAACTTCTCAATTCTGGAACATTTTTCGGAGGTGCCCAATTGACCACTGCCTCAATTTTCTTTGGGTCTACTTCAACTCCTCTTCCAGAAACCACGTGGCCCAGAAATAATACTTCTTTTAACCAGAATTCACACTTGGAGAACTTTGCATACAGTTTCTTTTCCCTCAACATCTCTAATGTGATCCTCAAGTTTTCTTTGTGCTCCTCATAGTTCTTCGAGTAGATGAGAATGTCATCAATGAATACAATGAAAAACTTATCCAAGTACTCATGGAATATGTTGTTCATTAGTGCCATGAATGCTGCCGGTGCATTGGTCAATCCAAAAGGCATTACCAAGAATTCGTAGTGGCCATATCGAGTACGGAAGGCTGTCTTTGGGATAGAGGATTCAGCCACCCGCAACTAGTGGTACCCTGACCTTAGATCAATCTTAGAGAACACAGAGGCACCCTGAAGTTGATCAAACAAGTCGTCTATCCTGGGTAATGGATATCGGTTCTTCACCGTTGCCTTATTTAGCCTCCTGGTAGTCGATACACATCCGCATACTGCCATCTTTCTTCTTGACAAATAGCACCGGGGCTCCCCATGGAGATATACTAGGGCGAATGAAACCTTTGTCCAGTAGTTCTTGCAATTTCTCCTTCAACTCCTTCAGTTCTACTGGCGCCATTCGGTATGGCGGTATCGAAATTGGTGCAATACCCGGTACCACTTCAATGTCAAACTCGATCTCTCTCGTTGGGGGTAAACCGAGGAGATCTTTTGGAAACACATCCGGGAACTCCTTGACAATGTCCACCTCTTCAAGCTTCACTTCCGGTGTGGTAGTAACATGAGCCAAATAAGCTTCACACCCATCTTGAATCAGTGCGAATGCTGTGGTTGCAGATATCAAACTTCCTGGAATGGCCCTACGTATCCCCTTGAAAACAGCCATTCCTCTTCCTTCCAAGTCAAATCGAACCTCCTTGTTGAAACAATCCACTATCTCTCTGTGCTTGCATAGCCAATCCATTCCCAAGATAATATCGAATTCATCAAAAGGAAGTAACATAAGGTTTGCCTCCAGTTCATACCCAGCGACTTCCACTATGCACTCTCTGACTATGGAATTAACTATCAACGTATCACCCACAGGTGTACGCACCCCCATATTCTGATTGAGGTGTACAGGTACCATCCCTAAGGTTCTAGCAAAAGCAGTAGATACAAAGGAATGCGTAGACCCCGGATCTATCAAGGCAAAAGCAGGACGGTTATGAATATAAACCATACCAGTCACAACCTCTGGGGTTGCGTTAGCTTCTTCTCTCCCCATAGCAAAGAGTCTGGGTTGCCCGCTAGCTTTGGACATTTGACTCTGGTCACGATGATTATTGTGGATGTTGTTGATGGTGGCTGCTCTATCATTGAATCTCCCGCTTGGTTGCATCCTTCCTCCACCAACCGAAGGCTCAGATACCGCCATAGTTCGTCCCGTGAATCGTGGGCAATTGGCCTTTTTATGCCCCGGCTGACCACATCCAAAGCAGAGGCCTAGCTTGAACCTGCACTCCCCCGGATGATGCTTCTCACAAAATTGACAGAGCGGGTACTGGGTCTGGTACTGCGTGGGTGCACTCCTGTTAGAGCCTGCCTTGCTATGGGAAGGCAGCTGGAGGGTAGAACCAGGTCCTCTCTTAGAAGGGTGAGTTGAGAGAGTCTGGCTCCCCGAGTAGGTGGACTCTTTCCTCTTCCGAACATCGAATCTAGAAGCCCTCTCTTCCTGAGCCATCTTCTCATCCTTCTCGATGCGAAGGGCAGCCCGATAAGCTATGGATTGAGATACCCTCTCCGCTTCTCCCATACATTTCTTAATTTCTGCTTTCAAGCCTCGAATATAGCGATCTCGCATCCCTGTCGCTGTTCGGTATGCGGGATCAACATATTTGCACAACTTCTTAAATTGCTCAGTGTATTCAGCGACAGTCTGCCCCCACTCCTGCTTCAATTTCATGAACTCTTCTCTCTTGTCATCTCGAATGGAGTCGGGGATATACTCATCAAGAAACATCTTTATGAATCGATTCCAGGTGATTGCTAGAGGTACTTCTTCACTTTATGGTTGGAGGTGCCACCAATCTCTTGCTGTCCCCTGGAGTACGTGTACCGCCATGGCAATCCTATCCTCATCATTGTCGATACGAAGCTCATCCAGGGTTCGGGTGAGCTTCAAAAGCCACGCATCAACCACCTCGGGGTCAGAAGATCCCTCAAAGTCAACGACTCCCATTTTTCTGAATGTGACATAATTTGGAGGTGGGCGTCGACCACCACCTTGCGGAGCGCCTCCCATATTCATACTCCTACATGAGGGCAATGACTTACGTCAGAATCTTGAAGACATCGTGCTTATTAGTAGACGAGACTGGATGTTCTAAAACAATTTTGGTTTCCATGAAAACTTTGTTAAAAAGTTTTTAAAACATTCCGAGCTTGTTAAAAAGCCACAACATGGCCGGGTAGTCATTGCTGTCACATATAACTGATACTGAAATTGCAAATTACAGATGACATCATGATGAAACTTTGGCTGGGGAAAAAGTAATAATTTGGCTATCAAAAAATGAGTAAAGTGCAAATTACAGACGACACCATGCTGTCACATATCCTACCAATACTATACTAGCAATTTGCCCGGGCGATTGCCCGAAGTGTGTTTCTTCAAATTTTTAGTTTATCAAATAAATCGGTAATCATCTCATAGCCTGCTCTATTATAATATTTGTATAGTTCTTTAAAAAAAATTATTCGAAGAGAAAGTAGACACGGGAGTAGGGACGACAAAACTTATTAACACTGCCCGAATCCGACCTAATTAGTTAGTGTAAAACCAGAACCCAAAGTTTGTGTGGGTATGAGCAAAAATCAAATCCGAACATTGTGGGTAATGGATGGATATGATTTTATCATTATCTAACCCCAACCCACCCGATTAAACATATGTGTGTATTTTATCTACAAATGGTCATTATCTTTTTCCATCATATATTATATTTATTATAAATATATAATATTCTCATGCAATTGTGTTCTTTTTAACTATTTTCTTGTAATTAGTGATGTATTTTTATAATTTTTTAATGTGGGTATTAATTGCTACCATAATATATCTGTTAAAGTTATGAAGAAAAAATATTACCTATGATAACCGTGGATATAGAAACTCAATCGAGTGTGCTTTTGCCCTTCACAGTAGGAATGGTTTGGTCCATTTAACTGTGCTTCCTTTGCTTTCGGTTCTTTCTTGCGTTTTGTTTCTTCTATTTCTTTTGCTTTGTCTCTTGCGGGCGGCTCAATCCTGTTGAGCTTTCAACCTTTTTCCTTTTTCGTTTTTGTTTGCTTTGCTTTGTTTGTTACCCTGTTTTTCCATTTTCTTTCGTAATAAAATCTTTCACTATTATAAAAAAAAACTCAATCGAGTGTGACCATGGTTTTGATTTTCTACACGATATTTGTGTGGATATAGCTACGGGTAAAAGTCAAATTACTTTGGGTAGGGTAATGGATATGAACCATCCGTCCCGACTTGATCCGTTTTCATCCCTAGGTATGAAGAAAAATTATTACCCATGGATAACTATGAATACTCGAGTTCTGATCGGGTATAGGCATGATTTTATACTCAATTTTTATTTATTGTCTAGCTATGGATATGAGTAAACCCCGAAAATTTTTTAATTACTGGATCATTTGCTCTAGACCCGATCCATTGTCATCATGAAAAAAAGAGTATCTAGTGATTGTTGAAGATCAAACAACAATAAAGCCCATTGGTCAAATATCTCATTTGACCTTGGATAATTCGACAATTAATCTTATGAGAGTTCGTGATTTTTTGTTGTTTCTTCTTGGTTCTTCATATGTTATTGTCATACATGTTCTTGAGCTGTGTCTGTGCCAATTTGGATACCATTTGAATCCTTCCAAGTTTTTTTCCCCTGGCTGGCTCCACTATTATGGGTTGGGTCATTATTTGTTTGCTTCTATGTTAATAGATAGTATATAAACTGTTCCGGAGTTGGAAAATGTATTAGGGAACCAATCTTTATTACTCGTTTCTATTTATCTTCTAGTGGGCCTAACTAACCGGCCCAAAACTGGCTGAGTCCAGAATGAGGCTCGGGTCATAATTGAGTATTTTGTCAAAATCACCCCTCCGCAAGATAAGGGATGCTCTTCGATGGCTGAGCTGGCAAAGCTCCAATTTGCACTCCTGTATATATATACATTTGGATACACACGTTCCCCATCAGAACATACACAATTGAAAAATTGCTAGCTTCTGCGCAACTTAAGGAAGGTCTCTCTGGTCCATTTTGTACCAATAATTTCTTTGCCCTGTAGTGCAATGCAATCCTGTTCCGTTCTTCAATTTGCTTCCTCCTATATTTGTGTTTTTTTTTTTTGTGTGTGCGAATATTTGTGTCCTATTTGAGTACAATCTACATTGGCTTGGCCTTAATTTATTACTTGACCATCTTCTCATTCAAGCACATTAAAAGAAATCCATATATTAAAATTGTAACTGTTTTAAAGCAAAGAAAAATATTAATCCAAACTCCAATTTGCAAAAAATGTGGGTTTCACGTAATGGTAACTATTAGTTTTTTTTTCCAAGTAATATAAAAAACAATAGTTAAATCCTCTACCCAAAAACCCAAAAAGACAATTAATGGAGCCACCCTACAAAATCGAAGGACGCTATCTCTACAGGGGACAGCAGCAGGGCTTGTCTTGCCACTCTATAGGCAGCCCAGAATACAAGAAGAAGAGGATCTCAACAACTGACAACAATCACGAAGTAAGGGCCCTCCCACCGAGTCTTCACAGCATCTACCATCAAGTTGCCGGACAACCACTTCTGAATCACCTTCAATGATGGCGCGGGGAATACTGCGAGAAAGCACCACAGATATGGCATCCCTGGCGGCTAGCAGCTCTGCAAGATAAGGATTCGAAATCCCTGGATGGTGGAAACCCAAAGCCAAAAAGACTTGCCCATCCGTTTCTCGAACGACGAGGCCTAACGAGCTACCCTGGACATGAAGAGCGGCATCGAAGTTGATCTTGATAAAACCTTCAGGAGGACCAACCCAACTGGAGAGACGAGAGGACTGGAGGCGGGGAGAGAGTAACTGGGGATGGGGGGAAACTGAGGAATATTCTTGGACTTGGAAGAAAAACTGACGGGCAAGCGAACTGGCTAGTGGTTGAGTGAATTCAAAAACCACTTTGTTTCTAGATTTCCAAATTCTCCAAAGAAGGCAAATGCAGTGGAGATAGTGGATTTGGAAGCTTTCCAAGTTCATAACATGTCGCCACCAGATTCCAAAATTTTCAGTTGGGGCGGAAAGAAGTAGACTTCTTAGTCCCACCATATTCCAGAGGTGTAAAGCAAGAGGACAATGGAAAAAGAGGTGTTCAATATTCTCTTGACTATCCCAACAAACTGGACAACGAACTTGACAGATTATTCCTCGGGACCTAAGAGCTGTCATAGTTGGTAATATAACTTTCAAACATTGCCAAATAAAGAACTTGAGCTTTGGTGGGACGTCAAGTACCCACGTTTCTTTCCAAATAGGAGGATCAATGATGGAAGCCATTGAGTTTTGACTAAGCTTTAAGATATTATCCAAAGCTAGATGATATCCTGTTTTTACCGAATAAGATCCATTTTTGGTAAAATGCCAAATTAACTTGTCTTGCTGTGGTAGTATGGGAACTACCATATTTCGAATGAGATCAACTGAATTTTCTTTGAACCAGTGCTTTAATCTAGGGATATGCCATTCCCTTTGGCCTTCTCTGATGAAGAAGGACACCCTTAGATTGTTATTATCCTCTTGCTGCCTAAGCTCAGGAGGGCATGGTTTATCAGCTAATAACCAATTGTCTTTGAAGGCTTCTATGTCGTTTCCATCGCCTACTTGCCATCGTAAGCCTTGCAAGAGGAGCTCTCGCCCATAAAGAATACTTCTCCAACCCCAAGATGGATTAGAGCCAATGGAGGCTTTCAAAATCGTATTTCCATTGAAATATCTTCCTTTATACAATTGGCTAATGAGCGAGTCGGGGTTTGTCCAAATACGCCAACATAGCTTGGCTAAAAGAGCTTGGTTGAAAGCTCTAAAATCGCTGAAGCCTAGCCCTCCATGAAATTTACTTTGGGCAAGACCTTTCCATGATACCTAGTGTATTGGATGGTCAAAATTAGTAGCAGAGCTCCACCAAAACCTTGCCAAAAGGCCATTTAAACGCCTACAAGTATCAACTGGGAATTTAAAGCACGACATACTATGAACTGGTATATTAGTTGCAGAGGACCTGATTAGAGTGTCCTTAGCTGCTTTGGACAGGGTACGTTGTTTCCAACCTTGCAATTTCTTGCCCATCTTTTCCTCAATATAAAGGAACATATCCTTCTTGGTTCTTGGTATTAGAGAGGGAAGGCCTAGATAGGAATCTTGTTCTCATATGGCCCCTACTCCCAACTGCAATCCCATGAGGCTTGCATCTTCATTCTTAGTATTTCTACTGAATAATACTGCCGGTTTGGAAAGATTAACTTTCTGACCATTGAGTCGTTCATATTCCTGGAACAAGGATAATAAATTCGAGCAAGAGGTGCGGGAAGCTTGCACGAAAAGGTAAGAGTCGTCAGCGAAGAAGAGGTGAGAAATCATTGGACAGTTCTGACAGATTCTGACTCCTTCCAAAAAGCCCATGGTTACAGCCTGATTTATCATAGCGGAAAAACCCTCTGTGCATATGGCGAACAACAGAGAAGATAGAGGGTCTCCTTGGCGTTTTAGATAAGGATAATATCTTAGCCCTAATATAAAGAATTTCTCCATAAGAATTGACAAGATACTTAATTCAAAATTTACAGCCTTCTTGGTGAATATAGAAAGGATATTTTTGTCATCTTAATTAACAAATACCATTCATTAATTATACTAATGGAAAAATACGTCGTTGGAAACTTTTATAAACCAATTATTATATTAATAAATTTATTTTTATTATATTTAGTTTATTTATTTAATTTCTTTTATTATAAGATTAAGTGTTTGAGGCAAACTCTTATATATGTGACTTTGTTAATTAACTAATTGACTCGCACGAAACTAAACCACAAAATTAATCTCGACTAGAGCCCAAGTTTTTAAACTCTAGTCGGGTGCAGTATAGAGCAAGTATTTATATTGTCAACTCGAGCCAGTCCATGTACCCCTACTTCGATCGCTTAAGTTGTTATCTAGCAAGCAACTTTAGGGTTTAGGTTTATTGGCTCTACAAACTAACCAAGCAAAGAAAAGTAAATAAAGGAAAATTCTAACTAAGGGGGCTTCACCAAGGAATTGCTTCCCCCTAACTAGCTACCATGACTCGTTGGATTGAATGAATTCGTGAGGCGTAGGTGGTTGTGAACCTCGAGGGTGAGCAACTAGTGTTCAATCTATCACGACATCAATTCACTAGCGATCGATTTGTCACGAGATCGATCCACTCACCAAGTCTAGGGGAACCGCTAGGAGGTACAACTAGCGATCCATTTGTCACGAGATGGATTCGCTAGAGATCGATTTGTCACGGGATCGATCCTCTCAATCAGGTTCTAGTGGTTTCCTAGGTCTCTCCCTCAAACCGGAGTTTGAGCGGCTTATTCACAGCCAACCTAGCTGCAAACTGGTAACCGCGTACCGCAGAGGGATACATATGTTGTCAGAGACCACAATCTCAATTGCTAAACCGAGATAAGAATGAAAGGCCGTGTCACTCGACCCTCTCGGTTTAGACAATCGCTAGTTGACTTACTCCCTCACTCAACTCAAGGTTGGACGGCTTAATTATGCTTAACCAATTTTCTTAATTCAACATTGAGGTTTGCCCTAAATTAACATAGGTTGAAGTGGCTAATTAGATTGCTAGCACCAACATGCACAAGCCTAAGGGTGCTATGAGCTATGACAATATTCATTAGAGAGAAAAGAACGTACCCACTATAATATAAAGTTTTCAACCGAATATTATATTTCAATTGTTGTTATTTTATAGATTCAGGATTAGCTTTGAGCTATGGACAATATTTGTTCAATCTAACTTTGTATCACGAGGGAGCTAGACTTTTTGGAATGATTATTGAGAAACTACTCTAAGATAGTGACAAAATAAGAGAAGATTCACCTCCTCATCTCATACGAACAGAGCACAAAATTAAATTTTCGTATGAAGCTCATAAATTACAACATCGCGAACCGCGTAATTGGGTACACAGTTTTGCAAGTGCAATCTCGCGCAAAGTTCATGACATCTACATGGTAAATTTAAGTGCTTGAAAATGGAATTTCATAATTAAAAAAAATTGCCATTAGATTTTTGCATCAATGAAATGTAGGAGAAGAAAGAAGAATATGCTAATATCAGAGGTAGTGAATTCAGAGATGGAGATAAGGACGTTATTGTGATAAAGAAAGATATTATTGATGGTTGATATAGAAATATATGTGATAGCAGAAAAGAGTGAATGGTTGAAATATTTGATTCATATGAGTTAAAATTCTAGCATCGTGAAAAGATGTTTCACATTTTCTAACATTTTACAATTAAAATGGTTTTCAATGAAACGCAGGAGAAAAAGGAAGCTAAGAGACTATTGATGGTGAATATGAAGTTTCAATAATCATGATGAAGTTGTGTGGAGAAGATGTTTTTTATGGCGGGGAAATCAAAAATAAATCCAAAAGGAAAATTGTAGTAACTTCTAGCAACAAAGAGTAAATTGAAATACATTTTGAATATTTTTTAAGAATCAGTTACCTCCATGAGTTGTGTTATTTACTTTTGATAAGGACTTTTGTCCATGAATGATCAAGATGTTGTAACACTTATAATGTATATTTTTTTTATATGTTTAGTTATTGAATAATTTAGATTCTTTCATGTACCAAATAAATTATTCGCATAATTACAATAAATGTTTATACTCTTAATTTAATTCATCCGGCCAACGACGGGCCCAACTCAAGTAACTGATACTGAAATCTGAGAAAATACCCAATTATATGAAAGCATGACTCGCAAAGGCACAACATTACATAGATCAAAGGTCCACGGGAGCATCTCATCTTCCTGAGATTGAGTTTGTTGACAATCTTCATGCGCCTTCAATGTTAATACAGAGCTACTATTTGATGTAACTGAAATTACAATTTTGGCTTCACACTCGGGGAAGTTCTCCATCTCGTAAAAGTGAGGACTGGAGCAACGTCTACAAGCCACTCGCCGCGAATGTCTATCGTCGTCCGGATGAAACTCATTCTAGTCACAACACATTCATTGTAGACCACCCACTGAGGGTAGTGATCCAGACATGTTGACGGATGTAAATGCACGACTTGGTTGTCTTTGACCGTTAGGTAGTGTCCAGTGCTTCGCTCCAGATATGCCACTTGCATGAAACATCCTGCCAGTATCGCCTTTCTTATATTGACGTAGTAATCTCTGCTGCCGAATTCGGTGCTGCATATCCTGAGGTTATACCTCGACATGATCCGCACGATCTGCTGTCTAACATTGTCGACAGACTTGATGGCTCTGTAGTTGATGAAATTCGCATAGCACCATGAAGGATCCTCGTTGTTCAGCTTGAATGCATGGTAGATGTTGAGCAAAGTGAGGTGATCTCCTTCGATGTGTGCAAACCGAGCTTTGGCTTCATCGGCAGCCTTCCTTGGAGCCTCCCCCTTGGGAGGGCGGACAAAGCAATTGGGAACTGATAGCATGGCACAAATAGAGAGGATCTCGTTGGAGCAATTGAACTCTGGATTAACAATCAGCGTCTTTGCCGTCTGAGGATCCAACGCAAACTCACTCATGATCTGCCCCAGCTTCGTCAGGTTGCCCTCATCATCCATGGCTCCCAAGTAGTATAGCATCTCCAAAGCTCGCTCCAACGTCTTGGGGGTAGGTGGGTCCATGTAATCAAAGTGCACCAGGTCATCAATCCCCAGCTTCTTCATCGTTAGGAAAGGAGTCCCTAAATTCGATCTGACTATCTCCGGGTCGGTCTGCGACTGCAGATCCTTATCAAAACTCTTCTCAGTGTACAACCTGTAGCACTTCCCCGGGGCCGTCCTGCCTGCTCGACCCTTCCTCTGCTCGGCACTAGCCTTGGAGATAGGGGTCACCTGCAGGGACTCGGCTCCAACGTGGGGATCGTAAACCTTTCTCTTGACGAAACCTAGATCGACCACGTAGACAATGCTGTGGATTTTGAGTGAAGTTTCAGCAATGTTGGTCGATACCACGATTCTCCTGGTCCCGGGAGCAGGTTTGAAGACCTTGTGCTGCAAGGCTGGAGGCAGAGTCGAGTACAGAGGGATGATTGTGATGGGACCCACCTGGCCTCCCAAGTTCCCAATCTCCTTGGCAATGTTTCTGCAAGCATCCTCAATCTCTTCCTCGCCTGTCAAGAACAATAGTATATCTCCAAGTCCTTCACACATATGCACCTGAACAACTGTCTGAATTGTCGCTTCAATGTACTCTCTATGGCTCTCCGCGGTGTACAAGACCTCCACATCGTGGAGCCTGCTGGGGACCTTGATGAGAGGTGCCTCCCCGCCAAATAGCCCTGGAATTTTTCAGTCTCCAATGTCGCACTCATCACCACTAATTTCATATCCGGTCGGTTCCTCAGCACTTGCTTGAGGAGCCCAAACAAGATGTTGGTCGCCATGGTCCTCTCATGGGCCTCGTCGAGAATGATGGCGCTATAGCTTTTCAGCAGCGGATCGGTCATGGCTTCCCTCAAAAGCATACCATCGGTCAAGTAGTTCAGAACTGTTTTAGGGCTGCTCTTGTCTTCAAAACGGATTGTGTAACCGACTTCTTCACCCAGTGTGACATCTATCTCTTCGGCCACTCGTTAGGATACCGATATTTCCGCCACTCGACGAGGCTGAGTGCATCCAACCATCACCTTTTTTCTTCTCATGTCGTCGCTTGGGGTCGTTTCCATCATCATCATCATCATCATCTCCAAAACGAATTGAGGGATCTGTGTTGTTTTGCCGCTTCCGGTCTCGTCGACGAGGACGAGGACTTGATTTTTCTTCAAGGCGTCCAAAATCTCCTCCTTGTGTTTCCAAACCGAGAGGATATTCCTCTTGTCGAGTATATCTTGGAACTTTTGGGAATAGGGCTTCCCGTTCCACCGATTGAAGATGGATCCGCTGGCTTGGTCGGCGAACATGGGAGAAGCTGCTCCGACGTTTGGCGGTGGTGCTACCTTGGCGAGCTTGTTGGTAGGGACAATGGAAGAGACGTCCAGCTTCCTTTTCCTCCTTGATGGCCATAGTGATACGAGGGAATTGGTCTAGAATTGAAACAAGGCGGAACGAATAATGAATGAATTGGTGGTGGTCGCAGCGGATCATCTATTTGTATTGTATGAGCAATGATGATTTGTGGACTTGTAGTTTGTGGAATCCTTCTCGGAGAAGGTTTAATTATGTCACGAGGAAGGTTTAATTATGTCACTCGGATTCCCTGGGAAAGGGCTTAGGATAGGGTGAGTAACCCTATGTTACTCACCCGTGAGTAACCACCTTAGGACCGTAGATCTGGACCGGGCTGATCGTGTGGCTGTGGTTGATGCGGTGATGGTCAGGGGCATTTTTGTCCGAAATTTGAATTAATGACTTCCCCCTTTTGTCCGTTGAGAATCTCTCTGTGCGCGAGTTGGATTCAGTTTTTGGAGAGAGAAACTGCGAGCACCAGCTGAGAAACAGGGGACGGCGATTCTCCATAATTGATCGACGGTGATAGAAACTGCGAGCAGCAGCTAATAGAATCGAGCTTTATGATTCTCCATAATTGATCGACGTGTGCGCGAGTTGGATTCGGTTTTTGGAGAGAGAAACTGGGAGCAGCAGCTGAGAAACAGGTGACGGCGAATCTTTTCTGATTCTCCATAATTGATCGACGGCGATAGAAACTGCGAGCAGCAGCTAATCGAATCGAGCTTTCTGATTCTCCATAATTGATCGACGGCGAGGTTAGATATTAGTTTTTTTTATTCTTCCTGTTTAGCTAATCGAGTTTTCTGTTTATCTTTGGTTTCGTTGAGCGTTCTGTCGATCTCTGGTTTCGTTGGAGGTTTTTCATTGCTGCTAGTCGAGCTTGTTAATGTTTAGCTAATCGAGCGTGTTTGAGTTTCTCTGAGTTTCTTTGTGTGTTCTGTTTAGCTAATCGAGCTTGTTCATGTGTTATGTTCTTTGTGTTTTGGTTTTTTTGCAGTATTCTGGTGAGATGAGTTACGTAAATTGTGGCGATGTTGTTCCATTTGATAGATCTGGTTCTTCAACCAGCGTTGTAGGATCTGGTTCTTCATCTAGCGTTGTTGGAACTGCTTCTTCATCTATCGATCTTGGATTTGTCATTCAGCTAACTCTGGTGAATCAGGTGGTAAGATATACAAATTTGTTTGTTTATTGAAGTTTGAATGTGTTAGATATCATATGGTACCATGCTGGTAATTACTGGTATACGATGAGAGGTGATAATATAGTGTTGTGTTGTGATGTTATTGTGCTCTGTATTTAAGTTTTACCATATCATACCATGGTGGTAATTACTTGTACCATGGTTGGAATCATCGGTATAGTGTCGTAATTTGATTTTACCATGCCTTACCATGTGGTATAGTGTGGTAGTTTCAAGTTAAAGGTGGGGTTATGTGTGATAATTTATTTCACCATGTCATACCATGTGGTAAAATATGGTAATTTGATGTTATCATGTATAGTTTGTGGTATAGTGTGGTTTTTTAGGATTTTGTTGCTGCTGTAAGTGATTTTACCATGTCATACCATGTGGGATAGTGTGGTAATTTGATTTTACCATGCCATACCATGTGGTATAGTGTGGTAGTTTGGTTTTACCATGCTATACCATGTGGTATAGTGTGGTAATATGCTGAGATGTGATTCTGTTGTGGCATGGAATTCATTTTACCATATTATACCATGGTGGTAACTCTTGTATCATGACTGTAATTATTGGTATACATTGAGATTTCATACTGTTGTGGTGTGGAATCCATTTTACCATATCATACCATGGTGGTATTATATTTGTACATATTTAATATGTTGCTTCATAATGTTTATAGGTTTCAATGGTATATATCCTACTGTTCGTGATTCTTGGAAGGACTTATAGTTTAATACACCAGATGATGCATACAATTTCTATGTGGATTATGGGAATCATGAAGGTTTTGGTGTGAGGATTTATAACCAATCAGCGTGTCCGAAGCTCAATGGTGGTTCTTCAGCTGTATATTATATCTAGTATTGTTGCAATAAGGAAGGTTGGAGAAGAGGTAGCGAGAATAACCCTGATAATGCAGGTGTTGTTGATACGAATGTTCGTGTTCGTAATGTTGCAGAACTCAGGGGTGGATGTAATGGTGCTTATATACGACTGAGGTGGTTTAAAGAGTTTAAATGCTACAAGATCTATCGTTGGTATAATGTGCACAACCATGACATGATTCCTGAGTCTCTGCGTCACTATGTGAGATCCAGCAGACGAATGGCTCCTGTGTATAAGATGTTGGCAGAGGTGAATGATGTTGCTGGTATTGGTGTGACTTCTTCGTATAATGCAATTAGTAGGGCTGGTGGTGGTCGGAAGTTTGTTGGGTTCACAAAGAATGATTTGAAGAACCATCTGCGAACGGTGAGGACGTTATCAATGGAGTATGGTGATGCGACTGCATTGCTTGAATACTTTAGACGTCAAGCACAGCTGGATCCTGGGTTCTTTCATGAGGTGGAGGTTGATGTTGAAGAGAACATTGCTAGTATTTTTTGGGCAGATGGGAAGATGAGGATGGATTATCATTATTTTGGTGATTCAATTAGTTTTGATACTACTTACCGGACTAACAAAGAGTATCGGCCACTAGGTATGTTTTCTAGTTTGTTGTTTATTATTGTCTTTGTGAGTTTGTATGATTATTATTATTATTATCATTTTGTATCATGGTTATTTTGTTCTTAAAAGTATGTACCATATGGTATGGGTTGGTATGGATTGCTTTTTTGTTCTTAAAAGTGTTTTACCATATGGTATGTGTTGGTAACAAGGTTATTTGAGGTGGTTTTTGCATTGTTAGAAGTCTGTACTATATGGTATGGGCTGGTATGGATTGTGTTTTTGTTCTTAAAAGTCTTTTACCATATAGTATGGGTTGGTAACAAGGTTATTTGAGTTGGTTTTTGCGTTGTTAGAAGTCTGTACTATATGGTATGGTCTGGTATGGATTGTTTTTTTGTTCTTAGAAGTCTTTACCATATGGTATGGGTTGGTATTATTGTTATTCGTACCTTTTACCACATGGTATGTGTTGGTAGAATTGTTTTTACTCACATTTTCTTATGTTTTTGTAGCTTTGTTTGTTGGTTTCTACAATCATCACCAACTGACTGTCTTTCCGGCTGCTCTTCTATATGATGAAACAACAGCAACATTTGAATGGCTTTTCGATCAGTTTTTGAAATGCATGGGAGGTGTGACGCCGTTATCAATGTTTACTGACCAGGCTGCTGCAATTGCTGCTGGTATAAGGTCTGTTTTCCCAGATTGTTTTCATGGGTTGTGTACATGGCATATTGCTCAGAATGCAGTTGTTAATATGGGAAGTTTGTGTGACTCTGACTTCCTTCGTGAGCTTAGTTATTTGATGTATAATGCTGATGATGAGGATGATTTTGAGTATAATTGGAAGAAGATGACTGAGAAGTGTTTTCCTGGGAAGGGACCTTTGGGACACAGTTGGTTACAGGGCATTTACAAAGTTAGGAAGAAGTGGTCTTCAGCCTGGGTGAATAATTATTTTGGTGCAGGAATGAAGCGTACCCAGCTAAGTGAGTGCTGCAATAGTAATATTCGACATTACTTGCAGTCAGAGTTTAGCGTTAGTAGATTCTTTGTGCACTTTGAGAGGATGCTTGATAATAAGAGGGATGCTGAAGAACAAGAAGAGTACTATGCCTTATCTAGGTTGGCTGATTCTCGGTTTTCTACTAGCCCTATTGTGAAGCAAGTTGCTAATGTGTATACGCCGAAGATATTCAAGTTTTTCCTTGATCAGTACAAGGAATCTCTTGCATATAATATTTTTTTCAAATACGGAGATAGAACCAGAAGGACATGTAGGAATGTTTGATGTCTTCATATTGGAGGATGACCTTACAAGGTGGGATAGTAGGGTGTTGAAGGTTGATTTTGATAACGGTGAAATCAAGTGTTCCTGCCGTAAGTGGGAGTCAAGTGGTTTGATCTATAAGCATCAAATTAAGGGATATGATATGTTGTGGTCTACAACATGCAATCTGAAGTTCCAGCACATTCCTAGCAGTTTGATTTTGAAGCGGTGGACAAGAGCAGCAAAAACTGGAGGGAACTTTTCTTTTGAAGTTCCGTCTACTGATAGTCCATCGAAATATCGTTCTCGTCTTTTCAATCTGTCAGCTGTTTCTGCATCAATGATCAGCAGGGTTTCAATAGATGATGATTTGTATAAATCAGCCATGGCCTTCATGACTGATTTGATCAAAAAGTGTGAAGCCCTATCGATTACTGAACCTGCTGGAACAAGCACGTCTTCTAACGGTGACAGTAAGTTTTTAATTTTTTAGAGTTTTGTGTTTTGATATATGCAATTTTTTGAGGAGAATGATTTTATATATATATCTGTCATTGATTGTAGTTTGTTTTTATTATCTTGGTATAGATGATGTACCGGTCCAAAAAGTGAAGGGGTTTAAGCCTAAAAAAGATTATTCAAGCCTTCGAAACGATCAATTCCAGTTGAGGAGGCTGCGAGGGCTGTAAGTAAGAAGAAGAGAAAAACTAGCAAGCTTGAGGAGGAGAATTTGAAGGCTGTTGAAGAAAGTTTAAGGCTAAAGCTGTAACAGTTTTCTTAGAGGATTATTTGAATGTATGGTTGAAGCTGGTTGAGTTGTTGAAGCTATTTTGTTCTTTTGGATTGGGTTTTGGTTTTGTTGGATATTTTTCTTGTCTTGTTGAATTAATTTTACCATGTCATACCATGTGGTATAATGTGGTAATTTGATTTTATCATGTCAAACCAGGTGGTAAAATGTGCTATTTTGGAAGTTAAATGTGAAGGTTCTGTTTTATAATTGATTTTACCATGCCATACCATGTGGTATAGTGTGG